TAAAAAAAAAAAAAAAAAAATCCCATGGCTGACCTAAAAAAAAAATGGCTGACCAAAAAAAAAAAAGAGTCCTCTTACCACCACCAACCCCCCCCCCCCCTCCCCCCGCTTATTCAGCGGCTGGCTGAGTCGATGCGAAATATTCGGCCTGATTTAAAAATGTCCCCCCCCCCCCCCCCCCCCCTTGAAAAAATCCTGCGTACGCGCCTGGCCGGCACCCTTACGGTCGCCTTGCGTTTTCACTCGACCAAGTTTAACCAGGAAGCTCCCGGACGCCGCAGAATATGTGATGACACATGCCGTAGAAATGAATATCGGAATGGTCCTGGACGGTCTCTAAAATCCACGGCAATCCGCCGGGTAGGAAATATCGTACGGGGCACGTCGTATATGTGACCTAGGCATAAGGCATTATTAAATTATCATTATGCCTAGGTCACATATACACCGGGCGCAGTACGATTTTCACTACCCGGCGACTTGCCGTGGATTTTATAGACCGTACGGGACCCTTCCGATGTTCACTTCGGTCGGGTTCCGGCCAAGTGCCAGAAGGTAGGCTTACGGGCTCCGTCCGGTAAACAGGTGCACTACATGGCTCCCGGTGCCCGGTCAGGGTCTTCAAGGCGCCCGACTGGGTGCCGTGCGGTGCACTAAACTATGTGTGTTCAGTCGCTGCGCATCCATTGAGAATTGACAGAAAAAGAAGTCCGGGTACCGTTCGGAGCCCGCACGGTACCCGTACGATGCCCCACGTACCCTCTACGGGCTCTTTACGGCCTAACGGTCAGATGAAAACGCCGGAACAATTGGGAGCAGCCAACTCAACGCCACGGCTCCCGTACGGCTCGTGAAAAATGTCCCGGCACCCGTAGGAACTGTACGGGAGCCGACCGGGAACGAAAGTTCCCAATATGTCTGTTTTTACTCGCCGTTAGAGCCCCCAAGTGTATAATTATGTGAAAGCTCCATTACCAAGACCCTGGTTGCGTACTTATAATCGTACAGATCTTTTATAGCAGTCAGGTAAAAAAAACAATATATCAAACATAATTTATAGTAAAGGGTCTGAAATAAGAACGGTTACGTACGGTTTGTGATGTTTTGACGTGTCTCGTTTGTAATGAATGCAGAAAGTCTAATCTCTTTTGTTGTGTAATGACATTTACCTTGTCTTTCATAGGTAACCGGTCTTATAGTTGGAATAGTAAACAATGTGATGTTTGTCGACGAGGATGTGCTAGCCTCTGCCCAAGAAAATGGAAATATACTGCCCTCATCGTCCAGGTCTTGGAATCTCAGTTGAATACCGTCGACGTTGGTAACAGCATGCTTGACGCACCTTACCCCCAAATAGCAGTTCAGGTAAACTAGACCTCAACTCTCACAATTTGTTACATTCTTTCTGCCCACATTTACTTCTATAAATTGTGTAGATACATATATAACAGTTCAGATAAACTAGACCTTAATGCCTAGGTCAAATTTCCCGCCGCGGCCGTGCAGTCTAAAATATCTACGGCCAAACGCAATTATAGAAAAACGCGAGGCGTATGGTAGCCTTGCGTTTTTATATACTCCATTGGAGAAGCTGTTAGCATCAGTCTGGTCGCACGGTCAGGCGCGGATCCAGGATTTCTTAGGGGGGGGGGGGGGGCCCAAATTTGAAATTATGCGAGCCAAATATTGGTACGTAATGGTGACCAACAGTGACGTAATGCGGAGGGGGGGGGGGTTCGGTGCAGGGAGGGGCGAGTTTACCCCACCCTCCTCCACGAAACGCGGAAGCTTTGACGTTTCATTAAATTATTAGAGAAAGAAGACGATTCGTTGTACCGTTCTCGACTCAAAATCTTCGTCTGAATTGAGTTTTGCCCCTCCTGCGCGAAGCGCGAAAAATGTTACGATCTATTAAATTATTAGAGAAAGAAGACGATTCGTTGTAGAGTTCTCGACTCTTAATCCTTGTCTAAATTCCGCCCCCCTCCTGCGCGAAGCGCGGAAGCTTTGACGTTTCATTCAACTATTAAAGAAAGAAGACGATTCGTTGTACCGTTCTCGACTCTTAATCCTCGTCTGAATTTAGTTTTTCCCCTTCCGCGCGAATGTTACGTTTTATTAAATTATTAGAGAAAGAAGACGATTCATTGAAGAGTTCTCGACTCTTAATCCTTGTCTAAATTCAGCCCCCCTCCCCCTCCTGCGCGAAGCGCTGAAGCTTTGAAGTTTCATTAAACTGTTAAAGAAAGAAGACGATGCGTTGTACCGTTCTCGACTCTTAATCCTCGTCTGAATTTAGTTTTTCCCTCACGCGCGAAGCGCGGAAGCTTTTACGTTTCATTAAATCATTAGAAAAAGAAGACGAATCGTTGTACCGTTCTCCACTCTTAATCCTTGACTAAATTCAGGCCCCCTCCCCCTCCCGTTTTTCCCCTTCCGCGCGAAATTTTACGATTTATTAAATTATTAGAGAAAGAAGACGATTCGTTGTAGAGTTCTCGACTCTTAATCCTTGTCTAAATTCAGCCCCCCTCCTGCGCGAAGCGCGGAAGCTTTGACGTTTCATTAAACTATTAAAGAAAGAATACGATTCGTTGTAGAGTTCTCGACTCTTAATCCTCGTTTGAATTTAGGTCCCCCCCCCCCCCTCCCGCGCGAAGCGCGGAAGCTTTTAAGTTTCATAAGATTATGAGAGAAAGAAGACGATTCGTTGTAGAGACCGCCCCCCCCCCTGGCTACGCGCCTGCGGTCAGATAAACACATTTTGATAACTTGTCCGGCCCCGGAAGCTCAGGGGTTTTAGGCGTTTAATTAAGGTCAGATGATCATTTCTTTTAATACCTATTATTTTGGGACACTGGCAGGTCACTATTTGGCGTGTGGTCCAGGGGGCGGATCCCCCAAAAGAGGGGTTTTAGGCATTAAATTACCGTCAGATGAGCATCTAAGGGCCCGCCGTAGCGCCCTAGGTGGAATCCAGGGGGCAGAGCCCCTGGAAGCTGAGGGGTTTTAGGCATTTAATCACGGTCAGATGAGCATATTTTGATGCATCATTTTTTAACACTGGCAGTTAACTATTCTTTCTTTCTTGCTCTCATTCTATTTTTTTTCTCTTTAATATACTTTTTCAAATAAAGTGGGGGGGGGGGGGGGGGGCTCGAGGCTCCCGATCCCTGCCGTACCTCGGGCCCTGACATGTAGGAATCTCAAGAATCATATTTCGTGCCTGGCTGTAAATTCAGGAATTTGTCATTTTCCAACAAACACATATACAAACGTATAATTTACTAAAAAATGAGGACAAATCTCGGAAATTATGTCATTTCAGCATTATTTGTAATCCACCGTTGTAGAATTAGAAATAAACCACGTTTGAATTTGATTTCCCCAAAGCCCCCCCCCCTATTAGTACGCCAGTATCTCCTCTTTTCCTTTATTTCTTTCCTTTTCTTCCTTCTCTCCTATTTTTTTAATTGGTGGGGGGGGGGGGGGATGTCAACAGCCTGGGAGGCAAGGCCCTTTCGGTCCCCCCCGATTTCCTTTTCCCCCTTTCCTTTTCTTCTTCTTCTTTCTTTCCCTTCTTTTCCTTTCTTCTCTCTCTCTCTCTTTTTTTTTTTTGGCGGGGGGGGGGGGGGCAAGGCCCGCTCGGCCCCCCCCCCCTGGATCCGCGCCTGCGCACGGTCGCCGTATGGCCCCCTTTTGGCCGGCTTGCGGGTACCTTAGTATTTTTCAAAAAGCTACGGCCACCGCAGGGAAGCGCTAAGACAACCGTGCGTCATCATTTTAAAGGCCGTACGGTAGTCGCAGATTTTCTGTCTCCACAAATTCAAAATACGCCGTGCGGCTACCCTAACATAATGTGACCGCTACCGTATGTAAACGGCAAATGTGACCTAGGCATAACTCTCAAAAACAGGGGCGGCGATTTCTTTTCATGACGGAGGGGGGGGGGGGGTGGTGAAATGCGAGGGACGATGGAGCAGTGGCGTAATGAGCAAAAACGTTGGGGGGGCAGAAAAATGCGTAAATTGGCGTGGGGTCCAGGGGAAAACCCACGCGGGGGTAAAGGGGCGGGCCCCGTCAAACTCAGGAGTTTTAGACATTTCATTAAGGTTAGTTAGATGAGCATCAAGGGGGCGGAGCCCCCGGGAGCTCAGGGGTTTTAGGCATTAAATTAAGGTCAGATGAGCAACCAGGGGCCCGTCTTAGGGCATTTGATGGGGTCCATGAGGCAGTACCCCGGAACCTCAGGGGAAAATGCCATTTCAGCCACATTTGTAAATCAATGGTATATAAACAACGTATCTTTTTCACACTTCACTTTTCTCGGTATTTACTTGTACATTTCGAAGGATATTATGCAAGGGGGCGTATGTTGAGATCTTAAAGTGTAACATGGTCTTAAAGTGTAACACGTTACCTAAGCTTCTGAAAAAATATGCATTTGTCTAAACGCTGCATGCACTCTTGGGCCCTCCAGAGCCTAAAAGTGTGTTGCAGTCTTTAGTCAGTATTTGCTATACATTTTTTGGGCACTATTTCAAATTTGAGTGGGTGGGGGGGGGGGGGGCGTGTCCCCCGTCCACCCAGGATCGCTGCCCCTGCTCACAAATGTGTACCTTAAAATTTTATGCCCACGTATACAGATGTGTAAAAGTTTGTAGATGCATGCATTTAAGTACACAGTGAAACATGAGTTGTGCAATTATCTTCCTTCTCTAATCAGACGTGCTCAGTTTGAGTGCTTTAAATGAATGACATGTTGACTGGGTTGCGGGAGGCGCGCTTGCGGATTTGAATTTCTATATTGTTTGTTTAAAAAAAAGGCAAGAAACACCTCCAAAACGTATTTTATTTCAAAACGCGTGAATGTGTGTGTATATTATGATTTTGTGAACATATGGTGTATTGTTCTTAATATGTACTCAATGTTTAAAGCAACAATATGGAGTATTGTGATAATTGCATAATCATAACTGCATACATTTACCTGTAGGTGCTTGATGTACCTTTGGACACTGCTGGAGACGGCATAGTGGTCACCATGTTAAGTATGGACACCGGTTCCTTGATCAACAGTGACATCATGGTAGAAACACACCAAGATACACCTACTGATTCTGTCCCAAGAGACACCTTTGCCAGGGTTGTTGTACCCATCGAGGTAGCCCAAGTTTTCACTACTCCAGAGGTCACGGAAGGCCCATCAAGTTCTAACAACGCTACCAGTGGAGATAACCTCGGCACAACTACCGTTTCAGGAGTGTCCAGTGGTCCTGGGGAAACGATGGGTGTAAGCGCTATTGAGTGTCTCAGGGTTGCTTTCGTTGTGTATGCCAATGATGCCATGTTTCCTTCACCGAGCCTTGCTCTACTCAACCGGGAGATTGATACACCAGTGGTATCCTTAACAATCGGAGGGCAGAAGATAGAGAATCTCATGGAGCGTGTCAATATCACTTTCTATAGATTCAAGGTAAGCATGGTATGAGGTGCACTGAAGAGTTGTTTGACAAATGCTCCGGTAACAAATGCTCTGATGTCAATATCCCATTATTAACAAAATGTGTAACTTTGGTCTTGGACCAAAGACTGTACCTTTAACTCTAGCCCTAACACTAAACATAACCTAAGAATCACTTGGAAACCTAATCACACCACTATAATTATGCGTATAATTCCCACGAAACACACCCGGAAGGGGCAGTAGTAATAACAACACTGACTGGTGTTTTAATGAATCAAGAGTCAATCAGTTACTTATCTTTTTCAAGGGTTTCTAACTATGATAGAATTTCAACAACTTTAAAGAAGGAAATGAAAGGAAAAATGTTTTTATGAGATAAATATTCAAAAGCATAGGGCACTATTTATCATGGATCAAACACTATTTTCTATGCGGATCGCTATACAATTGTGACGCCATTAATTTCCTGCAATTAGCACTGTTGTTTTACACTACACTAGCCGATGTTATGATAAAACCCAGATGCTTAGTATAAGACGGGCCTATACATTGATTATACTTGTACTATACATGTCGTAAACAGACAAGTGCTAATTTCTTGTGCCAGTGGTTGTGGGCCGCATGTCTCTAACATCTTACATATATATTTGTTTAAATAATTTTCTGATTTCAGCCTGACTCTCGCGATCCTACTTGTAACTTCTGGGAGTTTAATCTCGGTAAATGGTCCATGGAGGGATGTCAACTGTTACCTGATAACGCCACCAATAGTTTCAGTGATGAATACTACACATGTGCCTGCGACCACCTGACCAACTTCGCTGTTTTAGTGGTACGTGATTCCTTCCACACGTTTAAAATATCGATTTGTTTTCTTCTCCTGAAACTGTATGAGAAGTGTATTAACGTATTACGTAGCCACATTAAACTTAACAACTAAGTAAACATGAGACTGATGTTAAATATATAGGATCCTTCATGAACTCAAGAGGTTTATCAGCAAAAGCTACAAGTCCTTTTTTTGATGATTCACTTTATTGGTCATTCATCTTAATCGTTTTGCAAAATGATAAACAAAGATTTGTTCATTTTGAAAAGATATACGGTTAATCGTAAGAAAGGCAGAGCAATGCACGATTAGCTTACCTCCCATGAGGTCCTGGACTGGGGATATGGATATTGTTAATTCTGTGTTCTTGAACGGACAGCTAGTAATTCGGTTTTAAGGACAAGGGATGAAGGTAGAATAGGTCGGTCGCTCCCAATATGTATCAGTGTCTCAGCCAGGCAACCATGTACTCGGGACGGCCAGATATCACCATTGATTTCGCCTTTATCTAGAGGCCTCTAGTATCCTCAAGGCTTGATTCACGTGAGTTCGGTTTAAAGGTTTGAAAATTAATTGGTTTAAAGGTTAGACAGGTTGGATTTAATCAAGAGACATGGGTAGTAAACGAATTAAATACTTTAGTGACAGGTATATTGATCGCCCGAAGTTCTAAAGTTAATCACATTTCATGAAAGAAGGGATTGTTATCATCACAATTAGGATAGATAGAAATGAATGGCGTGACGCGCTTTAAAAACCAATAACAGATTTCACCTGTTACCTTTAAACCTGTTATCAATGAGTGAAATTCATATTGTATACAGATTTATTGATTCTTTACTGTATTAAATCTTATTTCATTGCTCCTGCACGCGTTTTACGCTGAAGGACATATATGCAGAGGACGAACCTCCGAAACCTGTACTCCGTTTATTGAGTATCATTGGGTGTGCTATATCATGTGTGTGTCTGGTCGTCGCTATCGCGTCGTATCTAAGTGTCAAGTAAGTCAAAATTTTGCGGTTGTTGTTTTCTACCAACCCTCCCCCATCCCCCAAGACAATTATATGACAAGATATAATCAGTATAAATCAATGAATTTATACAGAAACAACTGTATTCAATCATGATAATGTACAAAAGCGATTGAAAATGGAAGAGTTGATAGTGAATTATAAAGGCCTATACCTATATATATATTTTTTGTGGGGAGGGGGGGGGGGGGGGGGGGAGGGGCGGGGGTTCTATTTCATGCAAACTTTTGCCAGTCTGCTTCTGCTGTACCTCTCTAAAACTTTGGAATAGCCTACCATGAGACGAAAGAAAATCACCGACTGTGGCTGTCTGCAAAGTTTGTTGAAAACACACATGTTCTAAAAGGGGTTCGGATAAGTTTTGGTTGTGTGTCGCTTTAAGATTTTTTTTCTCACCACAGTGCGAGACAGTATATCGAATTAGCCGCGCTGTAAATCTTTCGTATTATTGATGTTAAAATCAACGAATGGCTGTTTTTTGTATCATGAACAGTGTCTTGAGAGTTTTCATTTGGGGATGAAATAGATGGGGACAAATTATGTCGTATACAGTTTCAATGCACGGAAACTGCCCTTTTTAGTACAATCAGATCAAAGAATTTTCGTTTTTTTCTAGGAAGCAAAAACAACAACTAGCCAGACAAAACGTACATACGATAATATCTTTCATCAACAGGAAGATACGAAGATCTCAGACTCACAAGATTTTCATCTGTCTTTGCACCACCCTGCTCTGTTTGTACACCGTCTCCCTCGCCATCATCGCTCTCGACACGGAGTTCCATCATGCCGAGGTCGAGTGGATACCCTGTACCGTCCTGGCGGCACTCGTCCACTACTTCGTGCTCTCTTCGCTTACGTGGATGGGCATCGAGGGCTTTAATACTTATCTGGTCATCGTAAAAGTGTTTAATACTTACATCCCGAAGTTTATGATCAAAGCTTCGATTGTAGGATGGGGTAAGAACTATTGATTTTTCTTGATAATACAACAAAATAATACACCTCTAGTGCGTACTAATACAAAATAATAATTACAAGAGATGACGCTGAGGATCACCAAAGACTTTTCAGACAGACATGGCTTGTTTTTACACTTGATTTCTATATTCACTATTGTGATATTTGTCTTGTTAAAGGAGGATAGCCACGTCATCCCAACTCACCACACCCTTACAATGGCACCGTCCGCTGGTATTACTCTCAGAGGTGTTTCCCCGTTTACCTAATTTAGCTAATAAAAATGTTGCCTTTGATCTAGACTGTCTCGCCTTAATGTTGTGCAATGGTCTGAACCCTCGCTCCCTCCATACATATCATATGACTTGAGTTGTGGATAATTATCAGACGTAGATGACTCTAAATTCTACACTCTCCCTGCACCACCTCCCCTCACCACCTCCCCTAAACCCACCCCAGCTTCTCCACTTCCTGAATGATCAGGACCACATAGTGTGAAGCGGAAAACGCTTTGGGCAACTTTCAGTCTTTGTTTATTATTTGCTTATTTATTTATTTGTTTGATTATTAAATTATTTTCTATTTCTTTTTTTAATTACTCTTGTATCTTTTTTTTAAAACTTTGTTCTAAAAATTAATCATATAGTTTTGTATTATTTACTCCAAGGTGTATAGAGAAATAGAGCTAGTATAACGGGACATTGTCTTATTTTCAAAATATTCTTTTGAAACTTAGGTATCCCGGCTGTGATTGTTGCCGCAACTGGGGGAATCACTAGGAACTATTATGCTGTCGAAGATTAGTAAGTTGAGCCATATTTGTTCATGAGGAATCTTGCGAAAAATATGGTAATTGATGAAAAATTATTTCCTGTTTATCTATGTATCGAAGTTGGAACAGAATACTCCTACTATTTTGTATCAGAAGAATGGCTCTAATACAGCTCTGGAATAGAGGAAACAACAACATTGCTTGTTGTGCTTGACAATCATGACTAGGGTACTGATTAAATATACTAATGCGTGGTCAACCTTGTTTTCTAGAGTCTTCTCCAAGCAATGTTACCTTTTCTCTTTATCTCAATCCACAGTTGTTACATCCGGAAGTGGCCCCTCATTGGTGGTCTCCTGGTCCCAATGGCTATCATCCTCATCATCAATATCACTGTGTTCATCCTGGCAATGTGTCGTCTGGAAAATTCTGCACGAATGGCAGGACGTGTGAAGAAGGACTGCAAGACCGAACGACAAGAGACCCTGGAGCGGATCCAGAATGGCATCGCCATGTTGCTCCTGCTTGGCTTCACCTGGACTACTGGATACCTGACCCTGATCAACGTGGACTTCACTGAACTCCTCTTCATCATCTTCAACTCACTCCAAGGCTTCTTCATCTTCGTCCTCTATTGTCTTCGAAAGGAGACCATCAGGAAGCATTGGCGCCGTTGTATTTGCTGTGCACTGTTGCGGGAAGGTGGCAGCGCTGAGTCCCAAGGAAGTTCCGGACGAACACCACGATCTACGAGTGGGACTGGAGGCTCCCAACCTATGTTTGAATCTTCGTCTGCCATACCCCATACCAATCCATCTTTTGAATACGCAAATTAGATACAAAACATGATTAACATGCGAACGATGTATCTCTAGTGACTAATTGCTAGAAAATGATAGTAGACACGAGCATAAAGACTTTGATTTTAATAATCAGGGCAACTTTTATACCCTAATGCATTGCCTATTGAAATTATGTTAGGATTACGTAATATGGCACAGTCGTGTTCCTACATTTTAATATGTAACGCTCAAGTCTATTGCAATTGCCTGAAGTTGATTTTTTTTTGGAAAGTCTTTGCGATCATGCTGCACATAAGTGAAATACTCAGAAATTTTATTAAAACGCTTCGTAACTTGTTATTGCTGTTGGTGGTAGGGACTATCTGACTTAAAAAAAATGATTATGTGTAAATGAACAGAGGTTGATACACAATCATGAATGATGTGAGTGTGGGGTATTTGTTTGAATAATAAATTGGGGCTTGGTGACACATTTTGTATAAACGTAAATACATTAACGCGAAAGGGTTGTAGAGGGGTAGTATGTTTGTTTGTTTGTTTGCTTTATTGTTACACATTTCACGTAACAAGGTTGTCTCATGCATACAACGATGATAGACATGTAACATAGATAAATGATGAAGTGAAATTATTAAGCAGCACAGCTCTTAAACTATAAGTTCCCGAATTAATTAAATACAAAATACTGATTTCAGATTTCAGATTTCGATAGCAAAAAATAAAGACGAAATTATCCACTCGTCGACGAAGTCAGAGGGGATATAGTAATGCTGCCGTCCGTCCTTCCTTCCTTCCTTCCTTCCGTGCGTAACAAATTTGGTTTCTGATCGATAACTTCAGTAATGTTTGACGGAAATTAATGAAATTTGATATGACGGTACATGGTATCAAAACTCAGCCTAAGTTCGATTTCGGAGTATGTAGGTCACAGGTCATAGCTCATTTAATATGTGAAAAATACACATCTGGTTTCCGATCGATAACTTTAGTAATGTTTGACGGATTTTAATGAAATTTGATATGAAGGTACATGGAATCAAAACACAGCCTAAGTTTGATTTCGGAGTATGTAGATCAAAGGTCATAGCTCATCTAATATGCAAATCTGGTTTCCGATCGATAGTTTTAGTAATGTTTGACGGATTTTAATGAAATTTGATATGAAGGTACATGGAATCAAAACACAGCCTAAGTTTAATTTCTGAGTATGTAGGTCAAAGATGAAAGGTCATAGCTCATTAAATATGCAAAAGCACCTAACTATATATGTTAAAATGTAATTAACTTCCTTGCCTAGTAATATAATAGTATAGTCCAATGGAGGTAACTTGTTTTGACGTATATATGCCATTTGTACCATGCGAGGGGAAGCTACGCTTTGCGTTGACTTGTTATAGTTCGAGTCACTGACATATTTGCATTATGAATAACATGTACACAAGTTTTGCGGTCACAAATGAAATTACTTGATGCTGCAATAGGAATTTAGTTTAGATGAGAAGAAATGTCAAATATGACTTTTGTGCCTATTAAATTTATGTTGTTATTAGGAATAAGAGATTTAAAAGTCGAACGGATATTTTTTGTTGGTACATTCTTTCATTTTGAAGCAATTCAAAACTTTGCTGAAAACATGAAAAGATGGAAAAGGTTTATTTCGTCAAATTTTTGTTTCACATATCATTTTCCTCAGAAAACTTGTCATAGAGGCAGTAGTCATATTAACTTTCCTTTTCAATATGCATGAGCTAGTTTCCGCTGATGCACATTCCAAATCCCCTTGTACGCCCCAAATACTGTTTGTTTCTATTTTTTTTGTTGCTCTATTTTTTGATAAATGTTTTCAGTTATTGTAAATTGTAATTGTAAAGCGTATTGAGAGAGCTTTCTGTCCTGAAATACGCCTTTTTAAAAGTAGAAAACCGACATAATCATTTATTATAATTATTATTTTTACCCTTATTGTTATTGTTAAATTTCTTATTTATTATGTATTCATCATTTTTATCATTAATACTAATAATGGTATTTTCATTATCGTCTTTATCATTATTATATGTTTTCTTCAATTATTACTTTTTTACTTAATGCTATTATTCTATTGGATATTTCGGCTTTCTAGACTAAGAATAGATTAAATATCCCCTAGCTATGTCGAGTGATTTGTTGAGTATAGAAGTTCCTGTACCAGCCTACAGGCACATTGCTGTAAATAAAATAAATATAATTATTTTGTCTTGTTACCATTAAATTTCGTATGATATACAGAGTCTATAATTTTTCCGTCTTTATAGCAGTTCAGTAAATTTAGATACCTTGTAGTGCTTAATCATTATACCATGGATGATTAGACGTATAGTACTAGTACAATAAGATAAAGATAGAGGTAATTTGTATAAAACTGTAAAACCCATCGAGACGATGGTGGATACGTGTTCATGAAAGTTATGTAATCATTTTTTATGTATGCACTGGCGTCAAATTTTATGATAAACAGGCGGCTAGTATTATTTTCAAAGGGGCACAACAAAAGTAAATATAATGTACTTTTACGCTCTGGAACTTTCATGGGCCATCCTGTCAAATATTTAATGTGTTTTATATGCTTTTTCACTTTCTGTACTAATGTATTTTGATATGTTTAGCTTGGCAAATAAAATAAAATCAACTCATATCAACCTCAATCACCCCCCCCCCCAGTTGGCAGGGATTATTCTAACATGCGCACAATGGGACGTAAGCCTCCATGTATCAAAGATCTAACATATTTGGGGGTAAATTTGTTCAAGTGCTATCCGAAATGGCTTATCATAATTAAACCGTTTTCGTAATATAACTCAATCTAATGCAAACATCTTTGTAATTTGTGTCGATACGAAATATTTCTTTAATCTGATACTAACAATTTTATTTCAATAATTAGGATATAAACTACATGTACATACATTAGTTGTTGCCATGCAGAAATAAACATGTTGGCTTGCCCTACCCAACAACACGTAATATGCATTTTGCATTATGATTATTGAAGTACAATTATTAATTAGGGTAAGCTTATTCATTATATAAAGGTTGTTTATAATAAGTCGTCTGTATTTACCATCTTTCAGTTTCCCCTTGATCTTATCTCTTGCCTCTCCCATTGTCGCTGAATGTACTTCTTAATAGTTTTAACATGGGTATGTTTAAACAAATTGTATTTAATTCTCAATACAGAGTAATTATGCCTATTTGACACTATTACGCGCTGAAATGTGAGCAAAAACGTCTTGAATCATCTTTGTCTCTGGCTTCTAGTTTTATATTTCCCTTTTTTCCCCTAATGAAAATCCTTTTGCATACTATTATTCAATTTCTTTTCAAGCATGATTCCGGATTTACTCTCTTTTGGGGGATGCAATGACCCATAAAGCGCACATGCCACATGAAGAGATCTCATTGTTGATGCCCAAACTAACACTTTGATGAATGCTAACGCCTCAACACAAACTCACCCTCCCCTTACTAAATTAAGCACAACGTTCATTTCACGTTTCTTCCTTCTTCCTTTCATTCCTTCGTGCTCTCTCTCTCCTTCTCTCCCCTCTATATCCCCCTCTTTCTCACTGTATATATATATATATATATATATATATATATATATCTCCCCTTCTATTATCCCTTCTTTCCCTCTCTGTTTTGACCTGCATAGGTTCGAAGTTGAAATCAAATTAAAACGTTTAGATACACGGATTGGATGGGAAAGAAATAAAAGACAATGAGAGAGAACGAGAGAAAAATAGGGGGACGAGAGAGAGGGAGGGAGAGTGTGAAAGAGAGAGAGAAAGAGAGAATGAGAAGGGGAGAGATAGAGAAAGGGGATCGAGGCCAAAGATAAAGCGTTTTATTCAAGATGATGAACGTGCACCTATATCATGTATATTATGGTACCTAATTTTATACACTTTAATTATCTTCTAAATGTACATTATATCTCCGTTTATTTCATAAAATTCAGCTTTGAACCGTTGCCTATTTATTTGTATAAGTTATTTTTTTTTTGCTAATTGTGAAATTACTAGCAAAATAGACTTTATCGGGAAGAGAGAAAGAGAGAGAAGGAGGGGGGGGGGTTGAGTGGGGGTAAGACTATGTTGATAATAGTTTCACAGTCAGTGTACTACAGTAGATCTGATTCTTAATTTCCACGATGCACTTGATTAGCTTAAGTCCATGCAAGCTGTACTATAGTAACTGCAAAATCGCACTGCATGACTTCACCTTTTCAATGACAATCACCCTATTCATGCTGAACATCTTATATACAACTTGTAATTGTAAAGCAGGGCTCTCACTTAGCCGAAGTGTTTTAGCAAATGGAGGTGGTGTATATTAATATCAGTAATGTGTAGATTGTATTGATTTTCTTCATTCCTCCTGATTTCAATTAAAAAAAAGTTTGTATTTGGTTAGGTCATCAAATGAGAAATATTTTTGCGCGCTTGAAATTTGACACCAGGTGTGGCTAATGAGCATATAAAGAAATACATTAACAATATTATTATCACTTCTTATTCATTAACAACTTGCTGGATCATGTTCAAACTTTTTGGAGTTGTTTAGTGTTGCTGTGTTTCTTTTAATGATATTTTTCTGACCAATCATTTTAAAGATTACCTAATTATATATTCATAAGTTAATTATGAGGAAAGAATTGCTAATTTTTAAAAATTAAATAATTCATTGACAAGAACAGTCATTCAACAAGCAAAAGACCAAGTTTGGACTCAATCTACCATTGCATATTATCTCACAATCCATATTTCAATCACTAAATGCAACTAAAAATCTTACTTTTGATAAAACAAAGAAAATAACAAGATCTCAATTTTACATACATACACAGGTTGCCGACAATCTGAAGAAAATCTTCAAAATGGCGTAATTTCTTAATTTTTTAATCATTTTTTTAGAGTAAGATATCAATCTAAAGATCTCTTCCAGCTCCGCAAGAATCACTCAATGTAAAGGTGTTTGCTGCCATCTGTGGGTGAGGGCCTGTACAACATTCATTTCTCCACTGAGCTGAGTCAACATTTTCAGTATTTCTACACACAGTTTTGTATTCGCTAAAATGGCTCGAAAAAGTCCAAAATACGTCCAAAAGAGGAATAGTTAGAGCCAGATGGGGTAACTTGAAAAAAGCCAGGATTAATGAAGAACCAAGCCCTCCAGAGCAGACAGCCTCTGAAAGAAAGCTGCTGAAAACTAAATAACTCCCCAAAATTCCACGACTGGTCCCACACAGCTAGATCCATGTCAGTCGCTTGAAGGTCATTCTTTTAGACAAATTTAATGTCTTTGAACAACTATTTAAGGTATTTCGAGTCCATTTTTTGTCCCAAACTCAGGCTTGACTTAATATCTCTGAATCAAATGGAATACAAATGTAATAAATGATTTTGGACAAATTTTGTTTGCATTATACAAAGGTATTTCCCTGTTGTGGTGAGTTGCCTCAAAGAGGCACTCGCAATAACTCGCAAAAGCTTTTCTTGTAACTTGGAATAACTCGCGACAACTCGGTATGGCTTAGCGTAACTGTTTACAACATTCCACACTCTCCTCGAAGTTCCAAAATTTTAAAAATGTTCAAAATTTTTGCCGATTCGTTGTAATCGTGGGTGTCGATCTGTAATTGATACCTACTATTCAGGGGGCCTATGTACAAGGCGTTTGTATGAACAACCTTAGGGCATTGGAACCCCAATTGTTGAAGACAATTGAAGCGGAATCGTTACGACTTATGAGAAAACAAAGAAACATACAGTAGTTCTATAATAGTTATTTTGTAGAGTA